TTTAATTATTATGTTATAGTCATATTAGTATATTTTTTACATTTATCATATTCAAATTACATTTATAGGACGTTAGAACCTAATTAAAACTATTAATAATAGGTTATATATGAGTAATTTCTTTTTATTATTATTATTTTTTTTTATGTGGTTTATAATGAAATTGTTTTAGTTTTTTTTTTTTGATAAATATTCATAAAATAAGTATTTTAGAGAAGATAGAAAAAAAATTAATTGAAATTTAATAATAATTTAATTTATCTTTGTAAAATTTAAAAAAAATATATATATATATATATTTTTTTATTATTATTGCATATTATTATGTAAAATATCTTATAATTATTTAATATATATATTTATATGGAAATTATTTTTTTTTATTATAGTATTTATATATAATATTTCAATTTATCATTTAAATTTACTATTTAATTAAATTAAATATTTATTTTATTTATAATAATTATTTAATATGCATTATTTTAATATTTTTGTATATTTAATTTAGATTATTAGAATTTATAATTAAATTAACCATATCATTAAGTATGAATTAAATTTAAATACATTTAATTATTTAATTTATTTTTCTAATTGATTTATATTTTTTTTTTTTTTAAATATCTTGAAATTATCGTATAATTTTTTATTTATTCAGGATTTTAAATAATTTAATATTTCGGTATATCATATATTTTTATATTATATTATAAAATATTAAATAAATTATATTTATCTTAAAATTTTTTTTTTAAATAAAAAGAATGTATTTTTTTTTCTAAAAAAAATAAAATAAAATAATCTATTTAAAATTAATATTTAATATCCAAAAGAGTTTATTATAAATTGCATTAATTAATAAAATATAAATATCTAAATATATATATATTAAAATATAGTATTAAGTTATTGTATATCATTATTAATTAAATTAATATTTTAATATGTATTTAAATAAAAAAATAAAAATTACATATAAAAAAAAATAACATTTAATTAATATATAATTTAATAATCTATTAAATATAATTAATATATATAATTACATTAAAAAAAATATTTATAAATAATTAAAATAATTATTTAACTTTTTAACACAAAACTTTATAAATAGAAACTATTTATATATGTTTTTTTTTTTATTTCATTAATGTTAATTCAATAAATAGAGTAAAAATTATTAATATTTTTAAAAATATATTAGAAATTAAAATATATTTGTATCTTCAAATGTTATAATATCATTTTAAATATCTAATATTTTTTTAAAATTATCAAAAATAAATATATATATATATATATATATATATATATATACCAATATAAAACTATATGTAATAATATTTTAATTAAAATAAAAAATTTAAATAAATTTAATTTATCAACTATAAAATTAATATAAAAAATGTTTATTAATTAAATTAAATAATAAAAAATAATTTAATATAATAAAATGAAAAGAATTGTTATAACACTATATTTAATAACCTGTATTATCAGCTTAAGAGTCCTCAAACATAAATGTGTTCATGATAAAATGAAAAAAATCAGAAAATACGATTCAATACCCCCTGATGAGGAATATTTAGATAACCGTAATTTACAAAATAAAACACCCCGTAATATGTTAATAACCTACGACATGTCTTATTTCTAAAAATTACCTTCTAATGCTAAAAATAAAATTTTAATTTCTACCTTCGAGAAAGCTATATAACTAGCAGCTGACTATTTTTCTCGTTTAATTAAAATAATACCAAGATCTGAATAAAATATGAAATATTAATAAACTAATCCCAAATGCGGGGAAATAATTGTCCCATAAAATGACAAACTTAAGGGAAAGAACTCTGATTTACATATATATGTAACATATACAAATGATAAAGATATTTAATATTTAGCCGTAGCTAGTTGGTGTTAATTATTGGATCGTCTAGGACCTACTCATGGTGAAGTTAATTTCAATTTAGAATTTATAAAAGATACAAATATAAATGATCCTATATAATTTAAAGATTTAATGGAAATAGTTATTCATGAATTGACTCATGTTTTGGGTTTTAGCAATACTGATATACCTAAATGGGTAACTTCTAATGGATCTACTCATATTGATCCTACTATTACATAAAAAATTAGGGGAGTTGATAATTTACTAATTAAAACTCCTAATGTTTTGAAGTTTGCTAGAGAATATTTTGGATGTCGTACTTTAGTTGGTATGCCTCTTTAAAATTCAGTAAGTAGTGATTCTGATGATTCGCATTGGAAAAACACAGACATATAAAACGAATACATGAATTCATTAATGTCACCTAATTAAGCTTATTTTAGTGGTTTTACAGCTAATCTTTTAAGAGATACAGGTTTCTATGCTGAAATCAACGCAAATATGGAAGAATAAATGTTTTATGGAAAAGGAGCAGGCTGTGAACACGTCATGGGTAAATGTGATTCTACTAAAAGAGAATTTTGTAATCCTAAAACTGACGATGGATTATGTGATTATTACCACCATGGATAATCTTCTTGTAGTGTTCGTAAATTAAATGATCCTGGCTGCAATACTTTAGATACTTACGTAAATTCAAAATGCTGGGATGTTAATAGTTAATTTAATACAAAAATGTTTAATAAGTATAAGTGTTAAATATGGGATTAATTCAGATGTTTTAACGCGAATTTAATGCTTTCAAGCTAAAAAAAAAAACCTTATAATTGCAGTAATTGCTATTATATTACTGTGATCATATAATATAGTGATATTGGGTAGATACTTAGCAACTTGTAGTAAATTAAGAATTGACATTTTATGGATATACTGGATACATATTATGTCCAGCAAATTTATCTGATTTTGTGGGTTTAAAAAAATATGTCCGGGTATCTGTAATGCAAATGGATATTGTTTAAATAATAAATGTTATTGTGCTAAAGGATTCACTGGAATGGATTGCAATATTAAAATAGTTTCTTGAAATTTTTTATTATTTTTCTATTATTTTAGAAAATTAGAAAGAGCATTTTAAATTTTTACATTAATTAAAATTTTTATGTTACAATATTTTTACAAAGATATTTAATTTTCGTTTTTATAATAACATACATATAATAAAAATATTTAAAAATTAAAAAAAAAATATTAATAAAACTTAAAAAAAAAATATATAAAAATTTTAGAAAATTAATTATAATTATAAAATATAATTAATAAAATATTTTTGTAATTAATTTAATTAAATATAAACTTTTATTTTAAAAAAATATAAATAAAAATAAAATATATATTTTAATATATATTATTAACATTTTAATAAAAGTTATTAATTTAATAATATAAATTTTATATATATATTTTATTTATAAATTATATTATTTCTATTTAAAATGCAATTTAATAAATAATTTATATAAAAATAAAATTAAATTAATATTTGCGAATATAAAAATATTAAAAGATATTTTTTTAGCTAAATAAATTTTAAATCAAAATTTTCACAATAAAAATAAAAACATTTTTTCAGCTTTAGTAATTTAAATCATAACTTTAATTTGATATTATACTTTTTAAGAAAAAATAATTATATTATAAGAGATAATTATTTATTTTTTAAAATAATTGTGAATAATTGTATATAATATATAAATTTTATCAGAAGAATGATTACTAAACCTGAAATAAAATTTTACTCGATAATAGTTATATAGAATTATAAAGCCAAAAATTAAGGCAATAAATAAATTTAAAATAAAAAATGTTAATGTATTGCTAAAAATAAAAAATATATAAAAATATTAAAATATTGAATATCTTTTTATTAAGGCAAATACATATTATTAAAAAAATTTGAAATTCTGTAAAATTTTAATAAATATAAAAAAAAAAATTAATTAATATTTATTAATGAATTTTGATAATAAATTTAATTAAATAAGATTTTAGATTTTTACATTTTTATTTTTAAAAATAAATATTAATGTATAAATAAATTAAAGTGAAAAAAAATAAAAATAAAAAATATAATTAAATATATATATTTTTATAAAATAAATTTATAATTTTTAAATTAATATATAGTTATTAAAATAAAATTATTTAAATTAAATTAATTTTATTATAAAAAGAAAAAGTTTAAATAAAAAAAAAAATAAAAGTTATAAAATAAAAAATAATAAATAATTTATAATTATATATAAATATATAAATATATAAATATTTATATTTATACACATTATTATTTTTTTAATTAAAATTAAATATATATTTATTTAAAAAATAATATCCATATAATTATATTTATTTTATAAAAATAATATAAAACTTTATTTAATTAAACAATAAAAATTATAATATTTTTATTTTAAATATAAAATATTTTATTTAATTTATATATAATATATATATTTTTAATTTAAAAATTTATTTATTATTTTTATTTAAAAATAAAATTAAATATATTAAGATTTTTTTGAAAAAAATTATATTAATATTAAAAAATATTATATTATATACTTAAATTAAAATAAATGAAAAATTATAATTTATAAATAATAATAAGTAAAAATTTTATATTTTCTCAAATAATAGATAAATATTAATATATCTAAAGATGCTTTTTTAATAGAGCAATTTATCCACTGAATCCTTTAGCACAATAGCTTTTATCATTTAAGCAATATCTATTTGTATTACAGATACCCAGGCATATTTCAGGCATATTTTATTGAACCTACTAAAATCATATTAATTTTATGAACATTTTAGATATTCAGTATATCCATCAAATGTCAATTTCTGTAAATTTTACCTAAATTTTGCTTAACTTATCTTACTCAAATATTCATTTGTATTTTAGTAGAATCACATTCATATTTATATAGATTGTCTATAGTCATTGTCATTTTTGGTAATTGTTAAGCCGATATATTTCCGTTGAAACATTTCAAATCAATCCGATATTTAACTTCTTACTATACTTATGTTTTTTAGGTCTTCTAATTACTTTTAACAGCCCAGCATTTTGAATTTACGTAAGTATCTAAAGTATTGCAGCCAGGATCATTTAATTTACGAACACTACAAGAAGATTATCCGTGGTGGTAATAATAACATAATCCATCGTCAGTTTTAGGATTACAAAATTCTCTTTTAGTAGAATAACATTTACCCATGAAATGTTCACAGCCTGGTCTTTTTTATAGAACATTTATTCTTCCAATAGGCGTTGATATCAGCATAGAAACCTGTATCTCTTAAAAGATATATATTAATAATTATAAAAAAATTTATATATGCATTAATATTATTATACTTTATTTTATTTTTTACAAGATTATTATATAAATTTTATATTTTTTTTATATAAAAAATATAAAATTAAGATTTAAAAAAATATATTTATTTAAAGAAATTTGAATCAATTATAATACTTTCTAATTATTTAAAAAAAATATTAATATAAAAGTTAACAATGTAAACATTTTTAAATTGATGTTTTTTTAATACTCAAAATTAAACATTTAAGAGTTTTCAAATTAAATATTTATCTAATAACAGGTTAAATATGTTTTAAATTATAAATATATTAAAAAGAATAAAATTATCATATTTGAAATACTTTCTAAATATATAAAAATTAATAAATATTATGATTTTAATTAATAAATAAATATAAAATTATTAATGATAGGTTATTAATGTTATATAAGAAGAAAAAAAAAATCTCATATATTTTAACATTTTTGAGCATGTAAATAGATAGTATAAAAGTTTATTTACACATTAAAAATAAAAATGAAATGATTAATCTTTATTTATAATTAAAAATAAGATACAATTTAATAAAATTAATAAATAATAGATATAAAATAAAATTATATATATATATATGCATTTATATATATATATTTATATATATTTATATATATTTATCTTTTTATATTTATATATATATATATTTATATAGATATATATTTTAAATATATAGAATCCTGTGTCTCTTAAAAGATTAGTTGTAAAAGCACTAAAATAGGCCTATGTTGGTGATTAAGCTGCATTCATGTATTCATTTTGGATGACTGTGGTTTCCCAATGAGATCCTGCAGAACCTTCACCTCCATTATTTTCAAGAGGCATACCAAATAAGTTAGGACAATTGAAATACCTTCGAGCATAGTTCAAAACGTGAGGAGTTCTGACTACTAAAGTTGGAGTTCCTCTTACATTTAATTTAATAAGAGGATTATTATGAGGACGTCCCTATAAATCTACCCATCTAGGTATATCACTATCGCTAAAACCTAATATATGAGTCATTTCATGGATAACTATTTCCATTAAATCTTCAAATTCAACAGGATCCTACATATTTTTTCTTCCTAATAATCCTAAATTGAAGTTAACTTAACCATGAGTAGGCCCTATAACATCCAAAAATTAACACCAAGAAGCATAGGCTACATATGTTTCAGCTGGTTCAATTTTATATTATGTATATATATGTAAATCAGACTTAATTCCTTAGTCTCTGTCGCTTTAAGGAATAGGATATTCACCGCATTTTGGATTATATTATCTATATCTCATTTCTTATTCAGATTTTGGGATTATTTTTATTAAATTATGAAAATATTTACCAGCCAAATACATAGCTTTCGAGCAGGCATCAACTAATATTTAAGTCTAAGGAGAAGGAGCTAATTTTTAGAAAAAATTCATATCGAAAGATATTAACATATTACGCGGTGTTATCTTTCCTAAATTACGGATATCTACAGGTTCTAAAGGAGCGAGTGCTTCATATTTATAGATTTAATTAATCTTATTATGTATACAATTGTGTTAGAGTACTTTTAGACAGAAAATATAGTTTGTTAATAATATAATTATTAATATTTTTTTCATTTTTTTTATTTTTTATAACTTTTTTTTTTCAATAATTATTATATCTTTATTTCTATTTATTATAGAAACGACTGAATATTGAATTTTATTTATGATGATTATAATATTTATGTAGTAGACTGAAATTTCAATTTAATTTTTTAAGGATATTAAATTAATTATAATAAAATTATATAATTTTAAACAATATAAATTATATAAAATTTATATTTTAATAATAAAATTAAATAAAAATATTTAATTTAATCAAAAATATATTAAATTATTATATGAAATAAAATTATTTTATTCATCTTAAATAAAATTATTCTATAATTATCTAACATATTGATTTTAAGGAGACAATAATATACTTAAATTTAGTTTATTTAAATACATACAATATAAAACATTTTTATTTTAAAGATAAATTGTAAATATGTAAATTTAATATAAATAAAAGGAAACAAGTAAATAAAAATATATAAAAAATAGATTAATTTTAGGTCAAATTATTAAATAAAAAAAATATATATATTTAATAAATAATATTAATTTATTTAAATTTTATTATGTAAAATTACTATAAATAAATTTTGATTAATTATTATAAATATATATAATTTATTAAAAAAATTAAATTATTACAATGTAAATTATTAATTAACAAAAAATAAAATTTTTTACTAAATAAATAAAAATAAATAAATTTATATATTCACTATATATATTTTTTTCTTTTAAATAACAAGAAAAACAATATAATTTTATATTTTTTTCTTTTATAAATTAAAAATATATTATTATATTGATTTTTATATCAAAATTTTAAAATAAAAATAAATTTTATTTAAAGAATTTTTTGATAAACATTTATAATATAAACTAAATATTAATTAATAATCATTTTTTGTTTATATAATATAATATAAATAAAATATATTTATCAAATATTTATTATTCATAAAAAGTACTTTTATTTTATTTATTATAATATTGATATTTATATTAATAATATAAATTTATAAAAATATATTTTTTAATATATTTATATTATTATTAAATAATTATTTTATATTATTTAAAACAAATAAATAATAATCTAATTAATATATTTTTTAAAATTCAAAACAAATATTTATATAAAAATATTAATATTTAAATTTTAAATTATTCAGTATTTGTTTAAAATAAAAAATGCTAATAAAAATAATACTATTTCATTTTTTATTATATATATATATATATATTTATATAATATTTTTTTTAATTTTTTTATTTAACATATTAATAATAATATTATGTTAAATAGTAAAAAGTTAATAATATCAGATTTTTTGTATGAAATAATAGAATTAAAATAAGTAAAAAATCATAAATTATGTTCGAATATAAATTTTCAATTTTTATTTAAATCAAAACATACATATATATATAAATATTTCTTTTATTATATTTAAAAAAAAAATATTTTGTTTTTTTTAAAAATAATAATATAAGATAATTTAATAATTATTTATAAGTAATTTTTATTAATTAAAAAAATGGATAATATTTCTTTATATATATAAAAAATAAAAATATGAATTTGAATAAAAGTAAATAACATAAAAAATATTTAAAAATAATTAATAAATAAATACAAATAATATTAAAAAAAACATTTAATGTCTGTTAATTATAAAATTATTTCACCTAAAATTTTATAAACATACATATTAAGATTTAATATAATAAAAATTAAAATATGGGTTATTTTCCATAATATATCTATTATAAATAGTATTTGTATAAAGAATCGATACTTAAATAAAACAAAAAAATTATGATAAAAGTAAAAAATAATTAAAAATAAAAAAAATATAAGATAATTTGTCCTTTAAAAGAAAAAAATATAAAATGAATGATAATAAATTTAAAAATAATGTTTAATATACATATATATATTAATAATTACACATATTATAATTAACATTTATTAAGCATTAATAATACAAAAATATATATTGATGTATTTATTTATATTAATAGATTAATTAGCATAATAAGGAGCAGTAAAAAAATATAAATTATAAAAAATATTAAGATTTAATCTATAATTTGTTTAAAGATTTATAAGGTTAAATTTTGTTTTAAGGAAAAAATATATATATATATATATATATATATATATATATATATATGTATATTTTTAAAATTAAATTTAATATTTATAATAATCATATATGCTTCTATACTGTGTTTCTTTCAATAAATACTTATAAAATATTATTATAAGAACAATTAAGGAGGTCTAAAAGAAATAATTACAAAATTAATAATTAAAATGTTTTTTTTATTCTTTTTTACTAAATATATTAAGTCGGATAAAAATATTTTTAAATTAATTAACATATATACATGCAAAATAATTTTTTTAGAAAAAAAAAATATTAATTAAAAAATAATGAGATATAAATATAAAATTAAATTATCTATTCTAATAATAATATAAATATTATTTTCTAGAAAATCGTACATAATATCATATTCATATAAATTAAGTGTTTATTTTATATTATAATAGATAAATAATACAATTACTTTTAAAAATAGTAATAAGTATATTTTTATATTTAAATTTTTTTTAAAAATAAGTATTTAATGAATATATATAAAAAATATTATTTAAAAAATATATTTTAATATATTTATTAAAGGATAGATATTATATAT